GGGTATGTGGATAGGATCTTTTAAAGAAAGTAAAGAAGAATATTTTGGTATTAAGTGGCCTAAAATCCCGATTAAAGCTCTGGGTGTATATTTCACCTATGATCAGAAATTATTAAAGGAAAAGAACTTTATTGAAAGGCTAGATAGTATTAGAAAACTCATTAATATTTGGTCCTCTAGGGGCCTGTCTATTTATGGCAAAGTGATAATAATTAAATGTTTTCTGATCCCAGAGTTCGTCTACACAATTTCGTTACTTCCTACATTAAAGGAAATTGTGAATAAACTGAATCAATTGTTATTCAAGTTCTTATGGAAAGGTACAGACAAAGTAACTCGCGTGTCCGTAATAAACGATTATGAGAAAGGCGGTCTAAAAATGATAGATTTGGAAAGTATGGTGAAATCTTTAAGGTTGGCCTGGCTAAAACGACTATTTCATGATTCAAATGCAACATGGGAGACGTATTTACTTCATCTGTTAGAGCCCGTAGGAGGTCTGTTCTTTCTAAATTGTAATTATGAAGTTTCTGATTAAAAGATATCTTCTCAATTTTACCACGAACTTTTGTTATGGTGGTCGGAGTTCCGCGAATCTTTTGCCTCAGAAAGTGATTGGAAAAATATTGTTTGGAATAGTAAAGAGATTCGAATAGACAACAAGCCGGTTTATTATAAAAATTACTTTAAGTCGGGAATCAGTTACATACACGATCTTCTATTTAACTTGAATACAATAGACTCCTATAACTATTTTTTAAACAAAATCGACAAAAGCAATTTTCTACAATGGGCGGGCCTCCGTCATTGCATACCTTCACATTTAAAAGAAATCAGCCTAGATACACCAATCATATCCCCATCACTTATAATTGAAAATAAGATATTCGATATTAAGGACAAAAAATCAAAAGATTATTACTCGCTGCTGGTTTCTAAAAAAGCTCAACCTCCTAATATTATCCACAAATTGAAGAGTGATTTTAATTTCACAACACAACAATTTAGAGAAATCTTCTCGTTACCACATTTAGTTGCACTGGAGTCATATGTCAAATTTATTAAACTATTTCATAGTAATTCGAAAATTACTTTTGTGGGACTGCAGAAGAAGCCAAACAAGGACTGCAATCAAAACTTAAGATTAAATATGAAACTGAAAAAAATATCAACAAGAAAAACTTCTTTGAAAAGAAATGGGTGCCCACTCCAATGTAATTAATTATGCCCATCTTATTTTATTGCTTTTTTATTTTAATATGAATGTATCTTTTATTTCGTTGCTCATTGTCTTAATATGAATATAAGTAGCATCAGTAATCATATTATTTTGTAAGTGGTGTAAGAAGTGGTATCGTAAGTTAAATAAGTAATCGTATTGTTTTGTGGAGTAAGTTATGCAAATTGTATTATTGTAAGTAGCAACTGTAATTGCAGTGAATTTTAAGTAGTGTAAGTAGTGCGTAAGTAATTGAATTGTATAAAAACGTTTTGTCGGTAATATAATGGACTTTAGAAGTTGTATTACTTTTGTAAAAAGTGTAAGTAGACGTACCATTGTTTGTAAGTAGTGTGAATCACAATTAAAGTGTCAAAAAAAAAAAAAAAGAAAAAAAAAAAAGACGTGAGAAACTTAAATAAAGCTTATCTTTCTCTTGCGCGTTTACCGAGAAAGGATCATGGAGACGCATCAATTTATTAGCAGATTAATAAGAGCCATTAAAAAAGTACTTTATTGAACAAGCTTGTTCGGTCCGAAGTTAGAAGCTTCTATGACGAAAAAACTTTTAAAATGTGTTAACTGCTTTTGAACATGTTTAACCTTTGGTGTGAATGGGGTTTAAGTCCGAAAGTCTACAAGTCTTCATAACTTCAATTTGATGATACATGTAGATTATCAAGGATTTAACTATTGTAGTCACGGATTTGACCATAACGTACGTCACGAATTTGACAAAAAGCTGTGAATCAAAGGTGTGAATATAGTGTTTAAGTCGTCACAGATTTAACTCTACCATCACGGATCTCATGTTTTCCGTGACGTGTACGTCACGAGTCCATCAGGTAGCCATCACCTCCATAACCGTCACCTGTTTTACAAATTTTGACCGTCATGGATCCTTTACCGTCACGGATTTTACCAACGCCCTCATTCTTTTTTTGTTTGCAACTTTATGGACCTCACCCGTAGTTCGGTCAATAAATCTCCCAATACAATAACTCGACCAATATCTCTCCAATACGGACCTCGTGCTAGTTTAGTAACATATTGGGAATTGGTTCCTTGTGTATGTGTGTGCTTGTGTGTGTATGTGTGAATAATGACTGAGGGGGAAGAAGTTACCACAGGGAACTCAGTACATGTATACAGTTAACATTAGAGCAAGAAGAAGAAGAAGAAAAAAGTAAAAGAAAATGTTTCCCTTTTAATTATATCTTCACAGGTTAAAATCCAGTTTGCAGCATCAGTTAGTCTCCTTGAATTAAATAACTCTCTGAGTGGTAAACAAAATGGCAAAGTGCCTCAAGATGCAGTGCAGGCATTAGATATTGTCATGCGGGAGATGCCATCATGCTATTACACACTTGTTGGGCGATCGTTCTTCCCGTTCGATGGCCAAGGGAGACCCCTGGGTGAGGGGTGTGAGGTGCGGTTTGGTTTCTATTCAAGCGTTAGACATTCTGAGTGGAAGGCTATGCTGGTGAACATTGATGGTAAGCAATATGATGATGTAGATAAGCTTGTACTTATACACTGTTACATATGTTGGAAAGACTTTTTGATGACTGATTACAGCGATAACATGTCAAATGGAGTACAATAACCTTGGCAGATCTAAATAGAGTGAGTTACAAGGCTGCAAGAATATACAGACAAACAATTAATGTTAGCTTATGGTGTGAAAAGGAAACCTTATATGGTTTGGGATTGTGTTTTAGGCTTCCTCGCCACCTCTTGGTAAATTTACTGATTTTGATTTGTATTATTCTTGTCCTTTAGTGTCAGTGGCACCATATTAAAACGATATCACAGCCAAATAATGGAATACTAATTAACTAAATAAATAACTGCACAAACAAGATATGACATATATAAAATTCATTAATTAATCGTACCTATAACAAAATTCTCGATCGTGATTGGTTCTCCGTGCGCCTGTTTGTCACGTAATCGGCGCGCAATCACGTGGGTGTCCAATTACAGGTGTCTGTTTTGAACTTTTTGTAGTTGGATACTTGTAATTGGATACCCACGTGATTTACATGTCAATTAAGCATGCTTTAATGGCTTCGTTCGCAATGTTTCCTACAGTTTTTAAATCTTATGAAAAGCGCTACAGACGCTTTTCACAAGCTTTTCTTCGCTCAAAAGAAGATTTTAAAAGACATTTTGAATTCCGAAATTTGTTATAGATACGATTAATTAGTAATTGGACATCGTGTCGTACAATTCAGAGAGAAATCGCGCTCGTAATTTCAAATCGGCCTCACGCTTCGCGCTCGTCCAATTTTGAAATTACTTGGGCGATTTCTCCCTGAATTGTTCTCCACTCGGTCCTATTACTATTACTAAACAACTGATCAATCAATCAGTCAGTCAATTATAATTGATTATTTTTTAGAAAAGTAAGCAATGCTGTAATAAGAAGCTTTGCCATGTAGCTACACTGTATTACCTTTCTCAAAAGACTGTATTCCAGTTATGTGTTTTTGTATGTTCACAATAAAAAATTACACACGAGAGACAATTGTTATTTTTAATCTATATTTAGCTTCTTTGGTTTATTTCGTTTGATGTTTTGTTTGTTTAATTTTATATATTGTTAAGTTCAAGTGCAGTTGTGTTTGCTGACAGATGTGCATGTATGTGTAAATCTTTAAAATACAAAAAAATTGTCTGTTATCTCCGAAACCGAAACTCCTACTCATCAAGGGATTGCTTTTGTCAAACTTGTAACATGTGGCTGTTTTGCATAATTAAGCAAACCCAATAATACACACATGGCTGATGCCATGTGACTTTTCATATTTCTGAAGATCACTCTTCGAATAATGAAAATTAAGTATGCGTTTTGTCAGTATAAACATGTAATGTAAGTTTTTATTTCTTTATCTCCCCAGGAGACCTGAAGTTCACTAGCGTAATGTCAGTAATCAACCTTTTATATTGGATAACTATTTATAATTTTTTTTTTAAATTTTGATTATTTCATTTCAGTTTCTGCAAAAGGCTTTTACAAGGAACAAGACGTCATAGACTTCCTATGTGAAACTCTTGGAAGAGATGTAACACCTCAAAGTCTTGAAGACCGTAATTTTCGGCTTGGTAAACATAGACTTGAGATGGCCATACGTGGTAAGAGTGCATAAGATCTTAGCCATAACTTCGAACAGTAATTTGTAATGAATGCATGTTGGTCATTTATATGAGCATGTAAATGCATTTACAAATCTACCATTAAATTTTATATAACCATCCTGTATGCTTACTTTATTATGTGAAATTTGTATACCTGTTTTATATACCACCTGGTGTTTACCATTACAAGCTAGACCTCAGAAAATCACTGACGGCCAAGAGAAACAGGGTATGAACAGGAATGACCAGTTGATAACATTTGCAAAGATTACCAGTGCTGGGTTACAGGAATTTTAGTGCTTTGTAATATCCTACGAGAAAAAAAAAATCCTACAAGATATATTTCTATTTGGGGTCTGATAAAGGTTGTGTTTAATTTTTCAGTGTGTGTTCATTAAATGATACTTTTCTTTATCCCCAAGGGATCCGTATACAAGCTACTCATGCAGCCTCTGTTAAGAGAAAGTACACCGTGTGGGGAGTATCAAGTGTTTCTGCAGAAAAGCTACAATTTGAAGTTGAGGATGGAGTAACTGGCCGCAAATTTAAAACAACTGTTGCAGAGTATTTCAAGGATACCCACAAGTTGCATTTGAGGTATTGTTTCGTTACCCCTTTTTTTTTTTTATTAATGTAACCAGTTTATTGAATACTCAATGAAGCAACTTGAATATTTCATATGTATAGTGCTAAACTCTTGCGTTGAATATCCTAATTCTTTTATTTGTCTTTATTAATTATGTTCATTAGAGCGCGGTTTTCAACTGAGTGTCGTAAATCCCAAACCAAACCAATTACTTACCAATTATAGAACCCAGCCAATCTCAAACCGTAATAAAATTAAAACCAAAGTAATTACCTGATTACTGTCGATACTCGATTTGAAAACCGCTCTACTTGTGGAGTACGATTTGATATTGCCATACGAAGCCCGAGTAAACGCTCTTGGAGCGTCTAGTATTTGTAAAGAAAAAATAATGTAATATAATATACAAAAAAAATTACTATGTAACTACCAGATATCCTCACCTACCCTGCCTACAAGTTGGCCAGAAAATGGACCGTTTTCTTCCGTTGGAAGTCTGTACTATTATTCCCTGTAAAAGAAGATATCTGACTGAAGAGCAGATTGCAAACATGATCAGGAGTACTGCACGCCCAGCACCTGAACGACAGCGTGATATTCAGTATTGGGTAGGATTACTTTTTTCGTGATAGGTTAAAAAACATACCAACAAACAAAAAGCCCTCTTTCTGGATAGTTATGAGGAGGGAGGGATGGAGGGAAGGATGGAGGGAGGGATTGAGGGAGAGATGGAGGGAGGGATGGAGGGAG